GGAAGTAATATGTTCTTGGTGGCTTTTTATAATCCTTTTATTTTTATTGTCTTCTTTTCCTCTGCTTTTCATTTGTAAACCCTATATGTGAGATGCTAGATGATCAGACAATCTTAGTCATGTGTAAATAACAATGACAACTACATGTTACGGATGAAAGCCACTGTCAAGGTATACAGGCTTTGTTTAGTCTGACTTTAAAAATGCTTCCACTCACTTCAATCCTTTAAAATGTGAATCCTATATAGAAGTCCACATTTCCAGTTAAGCATCCAGAAGATAACTTGATTTGGGTTTCTTAGATCCCAGGCCTGCAATCGAGGCCTATCACAAGCCCCACTGATTTGTGGGGCTCCATGTAAACACAGGGGTCTGTCCACATGGAGTCAGTTGCAGGACTGAGGGCGGTATGCATGTTGGCATTTGTACAGTATGTTACTTCCTCCCTTTTCTCAGGCTGCTAAGAAAGCAGTGTGTTGAAAAACAAATGCCACTCTGAAAAATTGTGCCTGTTTACAATAACAGATGGGCAGAGCAGAGGAACAACTAGTCTTGACAATGTCCCTCTTTCAGTCACTGAGTGATGGATGTGCAATTGGCCTAAGTTGGCAAGCACCAAGAGTGTGCCTAAATCCTATAGGATGAGTTCCAAGTAAACAACTCCCTCCTTTCTCATTCACTGAAATGAGTTGGTCATTACTCAAAGAAAATAGACTCTAAGCATTAAATCTAATGAAAGAGAAAAAGCTTTCTACTTCGGTTTTTAGAAGCCTTAAATTTAACAATAGTTTAAACTGACATCTTGCTAGTCTGATATTTATGTAATAGAGAATACAGTATGAATGAATGCCTTGACTATCAAAGGCTGTTAGAAGTTCAAAAAGAAAAGGAGTACTTGTGGCACCTTAGAGACGAACAAATATACTTGAGCTCACGTCATCGGATGCATGCAGTGGAAAATACAGTAGGGAGATTTTATATACACAGAGAACATGAAACAATCGGTTACCATACACACTGTAAGGAGAGTGATCAGGTAAGGTGAGCTATTACCAGCAGGAGAGGAAAAAAACCTTTTGTAGTGATAATCAAGGTGGGCCATTTCCAGCAGTTGACAAGAACGTGTGAGGAACAGTAGGAGGGAATTTTATTTTTTTTAAATTGACTTTAGTTACCTTAGCCAGATCTTTATAATTTTAATATGAAACTGCAATACTCTCTCATTTTTATTCACTCTAATGGATAACTGAATCTCTTTCAGTTACCAGAGTGAAACTTTTATTGGGGAAGTATCAGTAAAATGGTAGTCCACTGACAGACATTCATAGTTAAGGAGATGGTGAAACTGATGGCTATTACTACTTTGAAAACTTTTGTGTGTGTGTGTGTGTGTATATATATATATACACACACACACAATTTGTGTGTGATAGCATTCTTCATAGGCGCAGGGAGTTGGGGGGTGCTGCAGCAGGGTCCTGGTCCCATGCCCAGGAGTCCCGGCTGCTGGCCCCACGCCTCTGCTTCAGGCCCTGCACACAGCCCGGCCCTGCACCTACACTTCTTGCCCCCAATGCTGCCACCAGTCCCATTCCTGAGGGTCCTGGCTGCTGGCCCCATGCCTCCGCTTCTGGCCCTGCATGCGGCTGCCAGCCCCGCGCCTGAGGGTCCCAGCTGCCGGCCCCGTGCTCACCCCCCGCCGTGGCCACAGCCTTGGCCCCCTTACCCTGTCCGAGTCCCCCTCCTCCCAGAGACGTGGCCTTGCTCCCGGCCCCAGCTCTGGGATTGGAGGGCGCAGACAGGCTAAGAGGGCCGGCTTTCAGCATGCCCACTATTAAAAATGTTCCAGTGCCACTGGCATTCCTTTAAATAGGCTGCAATTCTCTCATTCTCATTTTACCTCTCAACTGAAGTCTGTTTATGATAGGTCAAAAGTTAGGGATGCAAATGGAACTACCTTCTTAAGCACAAATCACTTTTTTCATAACCTGTTTGTGACTCGGCATGTCTCATCCAAATTTTCTAGTATAAAAATGAGAGCATCTTTCAGTAGGGGAAAGCAGCATATCTGAATTTAAAATAGGAAAGAGTTAAGAGTGCTGATCCCTACAATCATCTAAAATACACTTTGTGATTTAACAAAAGGAATATAAGAAGAGAGGGATAGCTCTTATCTATTTAAACATATCTGACTGCATTCCTCTTCCCCTCCCTTTCAAGGTAAGACCTGCCCAAAATACCCTATAGTCCAGTGGGTTGGGCACCTTCCTGGGTGGAGGGGAGAGAACAAAGCTCAAGCTCCTGCTCAACTTCAAGCAGAAGCGGGAATTGAATTGTGGTCTCACATATCCTGGGTGAGTGCTCTCAACACTTGGACAAAGGTAATCAGGGGGAGGGGTTGCACCACTTCCTCCACTGGTGTTTCAAGCGGGGCCTGATCTGGTTGGTGTTCTCAAAAGCTGCCTACCATATTGGGCATCAAGGTAAGATAGGCAGGGGAACACCTAGTTTAAGGATTCTGCCAGAACTTAGGCATGAGTTAGGTGCCCAGGTGTCAGGACTGAGGCACTTGTGTGCATGCTAACTGGCAGATTTTTAGCTGCCTTTTGAGACTTTACCAGTGGAAATTTCAGCACCTAAGGACTTTGGATGCTGTGTTTGGTGGCAGCTGAACAAGGATTTTGAGGATCTAAATAAGGGGTCTCAAACTCCCAGCCCGCGAGCCTCCCCAATGTGGCCCGTGGGGCTCCGGCAGTTTTGGGGCCGGGTCTCTCCCTTGGCCCCACCTGCTGCCACCAGGCGCCCGGCAGCACAGTGGAGCTGAGGGGCATCTGCCTGCTTGCTCCAGTGGCTGCCGGCCCCTCCCTGCAGCCCAAAGAGGGGCTGGGCTGTGCCTCCATGCGCTGCCAGCACCCCTGCAGCCAATGGGACACTGCGGGGGCAGCAGTGCACGGAGCCCCCCCCCCCGCCCCAACCCGCCTTGGAGCCCCAGGTAAGCGCTGCACCCTCGATCCCCTCCCCGAGCCTGCACCCTCTCCCCTTACCCCACCAGCCCCCAAAATCCCTCCCAGAGCCCAACCTCTCACCCCTTCTGGACCCAAACTCCCTCCCAGAGTCTGCACCCCAATCCCCTACCCCAGACCTCCTCCCCCACCCAAACTCCCTCCCAGAGCCTTAGGCAGGTGGGGGGTGGAGTTTTGGGGGGCAGGTTCTGGGTGGCATGAGTGACATTATTGGCCCGCTTGGAGGATTTGAGGACTGGCACTGGCCCTAAGGTAAACTGAGTTTGAGAACCCCCTGATCTAAATGCTGGTGTTTAACTTGTCCCTTCCAAAGGAAAAGGAGGATGGAGGTGTATGTTAAAACTATACATAAGAGTTTAAGCATTTACAATTGGAAATGATTCTCTAACTATGGTTACTGTCCACACATTATTAACACTACTGTTAAACTGCAAAAGCTAGGAGTATTTTGCTTTGGCCATAAGATAGGCATAAAGAACAAGAAGTACTTGTGGCACCTTAGACTAACAAATTTATTTGGGCATAAGCTTTCGTGGGCGTTGGGCAACACCCATATTTTCATGTTCTCTGTGTATATATATCTTCCTACTGTATTTTCCACTGCATGCATCCGATGAAGTGGGTTTTAGCCCATGAAAGCTTATGCCCAAATAAATCTGTTAGTCTCTAAGGTGCCACAAGGGCTCCTTGATCTTTTTGCTGATACAGACTAACAGGGCTGCCACTCTGAAATCTGTCACCAAGAAAGGCATAGGGTTTCCATTGTTGTTCTGCAACTAGCTGGTAATACTACTTTTGCAGTGTAGCTAGGATCCTAGCTATGCCTCTGTATAATTAGTACAGATGATCTTCCTTTCCCTCAGGTTGCCTGCGTGTAAGAATATATTAAAGTTCATATGCCCCACGTTGATGCTGCCACTCTGTGCAAATGTCCTCTGCACACTCTCTTCTTTACTAAGATACTATAGGAGGGGATACCTGCTCAGATTTTCCTAGACTGGTCTGACACCCTGGCTGCCTGAGTTGGTAGATGTTGATGCACCTAAAATATCTCAAACAACTTGATATTAAAAGCTGCTATGTGGACACAACCCTGTCTGTTGTAGTCAGTTAAATGAGTCATCCACTAACTACAAAAACAGGGCTGTACTGATACCGTCTACGCAACCTTACTCTCTTCCTACCCTCAAAGACAGGAAGGAGAGTGGATGTTGCTCCGCATGTTGCACTTTCTCCCTCCCTCCTGCTTTACAGGGAGGATGGTGTTGTGTTTATGGCTCGGAACTGGGACTCGGGGGAGGTGGGCTCACTCATTGCTCTGTCATCGCCTTCTGGGAATTACCTCACCTCACTTAAATCGCTTGTCAGTTCCCCCTCTGCAAACAGAGGGCTAAAAGTTTCTTTGGCTCTTGCCTATTTACAATGTGAGCTCCTTGGAGTGGAGACTGTTACTACAGTGCCGACCACGAGGGCGGTGGCTGTATGTGTTATCAACAGCCCAGCTCGGGCAAAAGGACTTGGCAGCGCCTTGACTCCTCCCTTCCCCCGGTGCAGGTAGAAAAGGGGGTTTCCGGCTGCGCACACGGTACCGGCCCATGTTAACTGGAACTGCTTCCAGGTGGGCCTGGGCCGGGACGCGGGAGCGCAGGGCGGCACCGCCAGTGGTGGCGTGGCTGGAGCCAGCACAGCAGCGCTGGGGGCGGGACACACACACGCCCGCCTAGCACCGGGGGGTGGGGGGACAGGCGATGCGGAGAGGCGCGGCGGCCGGCTGGCCGCGGGGTGGGGCTGGTGCCTGCACTCGGCGGGCCGGGCTCGCAGCGGCGCGGTCTAGCCCCGCACTCGGCAGAGTTGGCTGCAAAGCAGGGGCCGGCGCTGGGGCGAGGCCGGACCGGGGGCGGGGGTCAGAGCCTGGCTGCGCGCGGGACCCACCCCTGGGGGGGCTCTGAGGCCCGGGCCGCCCGGCCGCCTTCTCACCGTGTTCCAGGGACTCGCCGGCTCTGGGGGGCGGGTCCCCGGCGGCTGCCCCCGGCCCCTGCGCCTCCTCCGCGGCGGGTGAGGGCGGGGCGACGCCCCCGCACTGCGCCATGGAGCGCCCCGAGCCCAGCCGCCAAGCGGCCGCCGCTGCCCGCCGCTGCCCCCAGCCAGCCGGTGGCGCCCTGTGTCCCGGGGCGGGGAGCTCGGCAGCCGCCGCCGCCAACAGCCGGGCGTGGTGGAATCGGAGAGTCGACAGCAGCCTCCGCATGACTGGGGGGGGGGGCGAGATTCGTCCCACCGCTACGGGACGGGACAGGGGCCAAATTCAGTCACCGCGCCCCGGGGCGGAGGGGGCGAGCGCGCTTGGGAGAGAGAAGGGAAGGTGGCTCCCGGGGACTACGACTCCCAGCGTGCAGTGCTTGGGGGCGGCGGGAGCGCTGTCCGCGCGCGTGTCGCGCGGGGATCGGTGCTCTCCGGTTCGGAGAAGTACGTGCCTGGCCCTGGCTCCGGCTCGCGCGCTGGGAGGGGCTGATCCCGCGGAGGGAGCTCGGGCGGAGTCCTGCCTCGGCCGGCGGCTGGCGGCTGGTGGTGGCGGCTCGGGGCCGCTTAGCCCCAGGCCTGAAGGGGCGGGGTCGCCCCGCTCCTGGCACGCGGGCAGAGTTTGGGCATCGCCAGCGCAGTGAGACCTGGGCTGCTGGCTCGGCCCTTGTGGCTCTCAGGGGGAGGCTGTTCCCCGAGCGCACGGAGGCCAGTGCCCGTGACACCCATGCGCTCCAAGTGGCAGGGGTCTGGAGTCCTATCCTGGGGAGGGGGTGAGCTCTGCCAGGGACCCCACTGAGTGGCCGGCTCCTGTCCCGCAGGGCTGGTCCAAATTCCTGCTCCGGGCAACGCGACCCACCGGGCGCATAGGGTGGCAGTTCCCCTCACAGAGGTTTGGCCTGGCCGCCCCTCCATCCGTAAATAAAGTGTCAGGTTGCACAAGAGTGGTTATTATTTGTTTAGTTTCTCTGTGTGTTTGCTGTGAACTTAAACTCGTGGCCTCGCGCAAACGTCATTATGAAAATTTCTGTTTGCACAATGGCGATTTGGAGCTTCAGCTAAACAAATTTTTCTAGAGCATAAATGTACTACCTAGAGTGCAACAATCGGACAGGTGGATATTTAATGCCTTTCATAGTAGTTGTAGAAGTACACCATATATATTTAGGAGAACTAATATTGGATCTTACAGCTTCCCTCTGGGAATTGTGTCTGCGTTTCAAACTAACCCCTAGGGCTCCAGCTCCAACGGGAACGTTTACACTGCTATTTTTAGCTTTGTAGTGCACCCAAGTCAGTTGACACAGGCTCTGAAACTTGCTGTCTCAGGGTGTGTGGGGGTTTTGTTTTATTGTTGCAGTGCAATTATACTCTTTATGGATACTAGCCAGGGCAAAGCAAGTCCGCCTTGGGATTTTCATTACCATTTAAGTTTAGAGTGCAGCAAGCCCTTTGTTCAGATTTTGGTGGCACAGACTTCATTAAAATAAGCCCAGCTTAACCTCAGAAAGGAGCAGTTGGGATGGAGAAAAGTTAACTCGCACAGAGTGAAAGTATGAGTTAAATTGTCAAGAAAAAGAAAGAACAAAGATGGCCACAGATTGCTTTGTTCTTCATTCCATCAGAAAAAAAAACACAAGCTGACATTCTGGATTGGGGTGGGCAAACTTTTTGGCCTGAGGGCCACATTGGGGTTGCAAAACTGTATGGAGGACTGGGTAGGCAAGGCTGTGCCTCCCCAAACAGCCTGGCTCCTGCCCCCATCCTCCCCCTCCCACTTCCTGCCCCCGACTGCTCCCCTCAGAACTCCTGACCCATCCAACCCCCCAGTGCTCCTTGTCCCCTGACTGCCCCCCCCCCCCGGGATTCCACCCCCTGTCCAACCCCACCCTGTCCCTTGACTGTCCTGACCCCTATCCACATCCCTGCCCCCTGACAGGCCCCATGGGACTCCTACGCTGATCCAACCCCCCTCATTCCCTGTCCCCTGACACACACCACTGAACCAGGAGGCAGGTGGGAGGGGGAACACACACATACATGGTTTAAAGAAAGATGGCTACACTTCAAAAGCAGCAAATGGGCAGTTTTGTAACCTTACCTAGTCTCAAAAAATGACCATTGCAAGTGCCATAACAAATTCTATTGTCAGTTGACAAATGTAACCGATAATATTTCCCATGTAACATGTTTCCTTACCAGAATACATATAACAAAAATAATGTGTCAGAGTTAAAGTTGTGCTTTGATTGAAAAATGCATTTCTTTGTACTAGAGAAGAATAATGTACTTTGTTTATCATGTGGACAATGTAAGAATTGTAGATTTCTTAATAAGTATTTTCTTGCTTTTATGTTCTTTGGTTTTGTATGTGATGGATAGCTTTGTTAGCTAAGAACAATTTATATAACTATCTAGATTTTTAAATGAAGGGCGTTGTTTTGTTTGGGTAATTGTACTTCTACCCAGGCCTTTTTCAGATGTGTAATCTCTTTAGAGACATTTTAATTTGTTTGACATCCTTTACACACACAATGTACAGTACTATGTACGCGAAAGGCAACAGATGTCTAACTTATGCTTCCAAAATACAGGATTTGGACGCCACTACAGGATCTCGCAGTGTTCTGCAAAATATGAGTACAAAGCAGGAAACTATTGTAAATGATTTAGAGAACTACATTTTTGTCTCTCTTGCTCTTGCCAAAGAAAACTTGTCTTTAAGCAAAAAGATTCACTTTCCAGAGAATACTGACAAATCTAGTCTGCAAAGCCAGGGTGTCATTGAACAGTTAAGTGTGGTAGAAAACTCTTGATACATTTTGGGACATGACACATCCTATACCGAAGGAAAAGTGTGTGCGTAATTTTTTTTTAAAATGGTCTTTTTGGATCAAAGGGTGGGGAATTTGGATTTGATTGCTCCAGATTGTTGTGCAGTTTTATCTACTGTGATTTTCTGACCCAAATAGAGTTTTAAGAAAAATACAAGACTATAAAGTGTTTTATGTAGGAGAGAGAATCCATATAAGAGAATCCAGACTTAGCTTTAGAAAACCATTTTAATTTAAACTTTGTGAGCATGATGTGGCATTCAAGCAGCTATTTCCTTTCCAGCTGAGGGGGACAGATCCTGTATTCTGTGTACAAGAAACACTTTAAGTGACTTCATTGGGAGACTTAGGCAAGTAAGGAAGGCAGCACAGAGCCCAAAATTCAGTTACACCAGATGGGGAGGGGGAAGTACATAGTTACTGACTAGTCAAACATTTGTTAGTCTAAACTAATTGACAGAAATCTGGCTTCTTTAGAACCTCAGGTTTCGGAGTAACAGCCGTGTTAGTCTGTATTCGCAAAAAGAAAAGGAGTACTTGTGGCACCTTAGAGACTAACCAATTTATTTGAGCATAAGCTTTCGTGAGCTACAACTCACTTCATCGGCTGCATACTGTGGAAAATACAGATGATGTTTTTATACACACAGACCATGAAAAAATGGGTGTTTATCACTACAAAAGGTTTTCTCTCCCCCCACCCCACTCTCCTGCTGGTAATAGCTTATCTAAAGTGATCACTCTCCTTACAATGTGTATGATAATCAAGGTGGGCCATTTCCAGCACAAACAAACAGTCGGAGAACACTTCAATCTCTCTGGTCACTCGATTTCTGATCTCAAAGTGACTATCCTTCAGCAAAAAATACTTCGAAAACAGACTCCAACGAGAGACTGCTGAATTGGAATTAATTTGCAAATTGAATACAATTAACTTAGGCTTGAATAGAGACTGGGAATGGTTGATTCATTATAAAAAGTAACCTATTTCCCCTTGTTTATTCCTTCCCCTCCCCCCCCCACTGTTCCTCAGACGTTCTTGTTAAACCTTGGATTTGTGCTGGAAATGGCTCACCTTGATTATCATACACATTGTAAGGAGAGTGATCACTTTAGATAAGCTATTATCACAGGAGAGTGGGTTGGGGGGAGAGAAAACCTTTTGTAGTGATAAACACCCATTTTTTCATGGTCTGTGTGTATAAAAACATCTGCTGTATTTTCCACAGTATGCATCTGATGAAGTGAGCTGTAGCTCACGAAAGCTTATGCTCAAATAAATTGCTTAGTCTCTAAGGTGCCACAAGTACTCTTTCTTTTTAGAACCTCAGCTTCTCAACTTCAGTTTTCCCTGTCTGTTGTGCTTCTTGCTTTCCCCTCCTTTCCTATGTTAGCCTCTTCCTCCCCCAGAAAACCTGGTTACTGAACTAACATGATATTATTATTTATTAGGACTATCAAGTGATTAATTGCATGATTAAAAAAATTAATCATGATTAATTTTTTTAATCGAGATTAATCGCACTGTTAAACAATAATAGAATACCATTTATTTAAATATTTTTGATGTTTTCTACATTTTCAAATATATTGATTTCAATTACAACACAGAATACAAAGTGTACAGTGCTCACTTTATATTTTTATTACAAATATTTGCACTGTAAAAAACAAAAGAAATAGTATTTTTCAATACAAATACAGAATTATGTATAAAAAATAACTACATTCAAAAATAATACAATGTAAAACTTTAGAGCCTACAAGTCCACTCAGTCCTTCTTCAGCCAATCGCTCAGACAAACAAGTTTGTTTACATTTGCAGAGAATAATGCTGCTCACTTCTTGTTTACAATGTCACCTGAAAGTGAGAATAGGCATTCTCATGGCACTGTTGTAGCCTGTGTTGCAAGATATTTACATGCCAGATGCGCTAAAGATTCATGTGTCCCTTCATGCTTTGACCACCATTCCAGAGGACATACATCCATGCTGATGATGGGTTCTGCTCAGCAGTGCAAGTAAGCTGGTACGGTCTGGTATGCTGTATCAGTAAGCTATTTATAGCCACTATGGTGTACCAGAAAGACACTGTACCGCCCTCAGCCCCTCCACAGAGCTACCTCTCAGGAGAACAGGGCTGAGGAACAGGGGGAGCTGGGAGCGTTACGGCAGCCGGAGGAGCTGCTGGTGTTCTTCTCCTTTTCCCTCTGCCCTTCCCAGCAGGGAAGGGAGCAGAACCCCAGCCCCAGCCCCTGCCCTTCCAGGCACTGAGCAGATGCAGCTCCGTGGAAGGGCAGGGGGCAGGATTAGGAGTTCTGCTCCTTTGCCTGCTGGGAAGGGCAGTGGGGAAAGGAGCAGAACCTCCAGCCCCAGCCCCTACACTTCTGCATCTCCTCCAGCTCCATACATTTTCATCATCTGAGTCAGATGCCACCAGTAGAAGGTTTATTTTCTTTTTTGGTGATTCGGGTTCTGGGGCAGCAGGGCTTGGGTGGGCTCAGACTTTGGTCCCCTCTTGTGGGATTGTGTTGTAATTTTTGTTGTCAGAAGGGGGTTGTGGTTCAATGAAGTTTGAGAACCCCTGGCCTAGGGGATC